AGTGCAATGTGTGGGTTGTAGCTCTTGAAGAGCCTTATCATCCCAGCAATCCAACCATTTTTCCATACCGGTTTTCCATCCGAAAGTGAACGTTGAAAAAAGGAGGGCAACTTGTCCGAAACTATTTGGCGGTCAATGTATATAAGAAGATGTGACCTCCGCCAACCCGATCCGAGCCCACGGTCCAAGCAGACCGGAAAAGCCAACAAGTTTCCAATAATTCAAGCCATTTCGACTAGAAGTGATCCTTCAATGAAACACCAGATAGTTTTTAGCAAGTCCCGATGTTATGAACGCCGCGCGGTTCCAACATTTTCAAAAAAAAATTATAAGAAACTTTGGCTGGAACCGCTTGCAAAGTGATGCTTGCTGCCAAGACTTCGCTTAAAGTGACTCAACCTTTTTTCAATGAACGGAGTCCCCTTAATTTTGCGACACTCTTACGACATAAGCTGGAATAATCATACAGAAAGACTATAGAGAAACAAAATTTTCAAACGTCCCACTGCGCACCAACACATCAAATTTGGCGTCATTCACTGCCTGACTGGGAGCAAGCCTTTCGTCTATAGACAATGCTGCCGGCACGAAAAGTAGTAGGGTAAGTCACCACAAAAGTTTTTTCGTATTTGCAGCCTTGAGTTGAAACGAACGTTGTTCTTTCCAAACTCATTCTTTTTGAACCAAATAAACTTCGTTGTGTCAGAAAATCTCTGAGAACGCTAATGTAGTGGTTATTTACTTTTTTCGTACTGTTTGTGTACTGACTGTTTAGGAATCAGTCAAGCCTAAAAAGGCGTTTTTGACTTCCTATCATTCATCAAGCCCTAGTATTCCTTGAGCACCCTTCGGAGCTGGAAAAATTGATAACTGGTAAGTGAAGGTCTGGGAATTTTGAGGAGTGAATGTAAATTTCGGTGCGCATGAAAGCACCTTTTATAGAGCCGCCTTTTCTATATGAGAATCGGTGGCATCGTAGTCAAGGGTGGCATCTCTTATAGACGAGTGTACAAATCTGTTCCACTTTCAAATTTTAATAAGCGATCTTCATATCCTTATTATGCTAGTCTGCTCTAATTGTACAACTGCACATCTTACAAGACAGTAGCGTATATGACTAGCAGGGTTACGTCAACTCAGGTCCCACACCTTTTTAGAGTTACCGTCTATTTACGGGCAGCTTCTGATGCTTTGAGTGATTTCTCGTGATATCGCTTCTTATGAAATAAACTACTTTTGCTACGGCAAGGTTCAAGCTAAAAAGTTTTCTACGAAATTATGAGTAACGAATGCAAAGTCAGCGCGCCCTCAAACGGAATCCGAACTTAGTGGGGTATTCATTTGCTAAGAATAATTTGTTTTGAAGTTTTTGCCAAGATGGTTTTTAAGGAGGTTGAATGATCCCTTAAGGCCTGCTGATTATTTTGCACAGCTGCACTTGCGATTTGCTCCAGAAATCCCTCTAAACTGTTCGTCTAGATGGCAGATAACCTTCCAGGACATTGCGGAATTTTGGCTCTTTGTTTCCTGAATCTAAATTTTTTGCACTGGCCTTGCTCCACCCACAAGAAAGAAGTATCTCTGTTAAGCATAGTGCACATTATGCTTACTCCATCGACTACCTTGCATTCAAGTTTCAGCTTAGATAATGCAATCATTCAAAAAACGCGTTTTCATATGTCGACTTCTTAGCCATGCAAACTTCCTTATAAAGCGATTTCTGCATATTTGGCAGGAAAAATGAATTTTCGCATTAAATTCATGCATTACAACCCCATTAGCCCTCTTACATTATCTCGAAAATATGGCACAAACGTCAGAAGCTTGAAAAACAAAAACAAAAACTTTGAGATGACCTAATACACTGAAGCTGAGAATGAAACGTTGGGGAAGTGGTGAGCACGAGGAACACTGCAGAGTGAAGAAGAAGAGATGAAGAGGAGGTGTGAAAGGGGGGGGGAGGGTACGCACATGTACGCGAAGTACGTGACAAAGGCAGGGGGAACTTTTGCTTGGGAGAGGGAGGCGAGGAAATGAGAGGAAGATGGGAAGATTTTGTTCAGTTGATCTACGTGGAGCTTCAACAAGCATTCCCAGGAAACATTCCACAACCAAGATGAAAAAATCAACTTTTTTAGTTATTCAACGACTCCCGAAAAAACATCCACTCAGTTTTTCCTGTGGACCACCTGTGCCGGCCCTCGTTGCAGCTCGAGCACTCCCATTTGAGGCAACGGAGATACTGAACACCGCCGGATAAATCCCATTAATGCTCAGTTGTAATGTGATGGAGTTCGCGGTGGCAGTGAAGGTCTAATATATCAGACAGATGTGACTAGATCTGAAGTTACGACCAGGACTCGGCAGCTGCAACACAGGCAGGCTGTGACATGTTTTGGGGTTAAAAGCAAAGGGATATCGTTTTTGCGGGGCCTTCAAAATTGTTAGCAAATACTAATGGAAACTAAATTCATACACTTTGAATAAGCCGTATGTGGAATCTTTCTCGGAGGGCTGGCCTGCCAGTCTAACTATGTCAAATGACTCCAAATAGTTAAGTTTTGCTCATTCTAAAGTTTTCAGGTCGTGGGCCACTCGGGAAATGGTCATCTTCAAACGCGATTCCTCGTTTCAAAGATGAGTCAGCTATCTCTTTCTGCACCCAGTACAAATCACTACTCCTTGTATGTCCACCTTAGGAATCCCACCTCAAATAAGCCCAAAGTGAATCAGAAGCCCAGCTACAATTTTCCCATTTTATGCTGCAGTGGTAACCTTCATTACGACGAATGAAGACAAGTTGATTCTGTGAAAAACTATGGATCCAGGCTGGAAATTCACAAACAAAAAATCTTCAAAAAGTTCCTCTGTGACAAAAATAATAAGGTACTGGTGGAACAACCTTGAACAGGTACGGCAGCTTCACCTTTTTCGTGCCATCTTAACTTTTTGGTCAGAGAGAAAGTTTTGGAGACCGTTTATGTCCTACAAGGGGATACGTAGTGCAATCAACGGCAAACCTGCTATAAAATATACTTATGTATGCAAGAACTTCAAACGAAATGATCTACTGCAGCTACCAGGAAACCTTGGCTCACTGTAATAAGTGCAGGGAGGCAAGCAGAGTGTTTTGAGCTATCGCACTAAATCTACTATGCAGTTTGAAAGTCATTCATTAGAGTAATCTCATTCACAGAGTTCAAGATGAATTGCGTCGCACATCGCCAACTCTTTAAAAAAACGCACTCTATTTTAGTGAACAAGGCAAAGTTATTGTATGTGACTTTGAGTAGGCTTGCAGGATTTCGCGCGTGAACCAATGGCGGTGGGACCCCAAGCTAAAGTATGCGTGTTTTACGCCAAAGACGGTAACGGTGTCTGGTTTTGGAGGTGGATCTCTCAGTCGCGAATGCACCATCTGAGCGTCGCTTGTGGTGTTTTGGCTAGGGCCACAAAGCATTGCGGGTCATTTTTACCCGCAATGCTTATGTGTCCAGATTTGCCTGGAGCTGCCCCTAAACCCTCTCTCAGGATTTAAGGATGAAACAATATTAACATCTTTATTTTTTACCTTGCGTTCCGTGTCTTTGTCTGTCTTTGTGTTCTCTATTGTTTTTCTTTCTTAAAGGCACCGTCCACCCAAAATTTCGACCTCCATGTTTTTGCCGTTCCAGGGCCTTCTCATACTCCTGATTCCGAATATTAAGTTGAAAATCCGCGAAAACCACGAAAAACCCCCGTTTTCAGAACCCGCAGAACAATCTCTTCGGTACGGTGATTGGTTGGGCGCGCACGGGTGGGCGGGACGAACGTCACGCCCACTTCGAAAGGGGAGGAACCAGCGTCGCGAACGCGATTTCCGAAGCAATTTTCTCGGTTCGGAAGCAACTTCAGGCAGCGCGAGTTGGGCAATCATACAGTTGGGGACCCCGCATCTGCTAGGTATCATAATCTCACCAACCCAATCTGGGTGGACGGTGCCTTTAAAGGGTTAGGGCAAAAACTCATTAAGTAGCCTTTTGCTTATCTGCTCGCTACGCTGAATCCAAAAAGATCCTTTGAGAGTCGAGCTAAACCCGCGGAGTCCTTACAGTACCATACAATTCTAGCCATGCATGCAAATCTGGCGTTAAGAAGAAAAGCCTAAAGCTAGAGCTTCATTAGCATATATTCTCTTCTCGCTGTTGGTTCGACATTATGACTTTACAATTGTGCGATGGCGTTTCCAAAGACACTACTTCAACGTGGAACCAAACCCCAGTCTAAGCCATGCACGGACTGCCATTGAACATGCTTTTGCCTCATAAGCACTCAGAGGGGAAGCCGTACTTCATTTGCAGAGTCAATGGGGTTTCTTTTTGATAAATTCTCTTAATTTAGTGCCGTCCCAAAAGTCCCAAAACCACCCTTATTCGTTTTACTGCTTTTGCTGAAAAACCAAGATGATATAGAATTGCTCCCGTCTCAATTTTAGGTTTTTTTTTGACTCTCAACATATGTAGCTTGCTTGAAATGACTCTAAAGAGCTTTGAGGCATTTCATACCTCATAAACTCCTTACTGAGAAGTCCTGAAGAAGGTACAGGAAATGAAAATCACGTCCAAGAGAAGACAAAACGGAGTTTTCAATAAGGTTTTAGTTCCATGTTAATATTTAATATTTGGTTCATATGACATCAAAGACAGCCGAGAATCGCCCTTACTGACCTAACCGCAATTTTCTAACGCATGCTAACCTTTTACCGAAAACATTATCACGAAATACTTCAGAATTATCTCATTACCACGAAACATGCATGCTATTTGCTCGCATGCTCATCATTTAGATCAAAATTTGGTCTAGAGACATATTTGTAAGAAATAACGATGAACTACAACCTACAGTATCCCTATATAATAATGCTCACTTCTAGTTCACGTCTTGTCTTCAGTTGTAAACCAAGGCAAGTCCACGATGGTGCTACTCATGTATTTTAGCTAGAAATAGTGAAAGAAACTTACATTCTCAAAGTCAGCCATCACGTGTCGCTCGGCACCAGATACGGCAACTTTGTCGGCGTTTGCGTCTATCAAGAGAACAGCGTACTCCGCTATCGACTCTCTTACAGCGTACGCTGCACGCCATTTCAATGATATCTACGTATCACTCCGTAAAGGTCGATCTGTCGGTCAGCAATTAGACCAGACATGAGACTGAAGGGAAATTTTGGACAAAAACTACGCCTCCTCCATGTGCAGTAGTTAGACTCCATGGGCAGTAGTTAGATCCTACTCAATGTAAACAGAAACTATCACCAAACAACGCAAACAATCTCTTATCAAATAAAAACTTCACACTACACAACAACAAATCCAAGCCTTCCAAGAACCGAAGCCAGAGAGAAGACCTAGGAAAGATAGTCAACAGTGAATTCGTCGACTTAACGAACAAAATGACTGAATAGAGAGGATTTACAGAATAATCCCGAAAATTAGTCAACGACAACACAAATCAAAAGCGTGATTTTTGCGATTCTCGACGACGTTGGGATGTCCCGCTTTGTGCCACAGTTGCACCTGCTCCTCCCCAAGCTCTTTTGCTATGGCTTTCCGACTGACCAGCACGCCTATCGTTCTGAATAAAATCATCATGACTTATGATAAGTCGCTAATCTCTGTCTGTGGAGTTGTCTTTTACGAAATTATAGTGTAGAATCTTCCACGACTTCGTGAAATTTTACAAAGACCTCTTTGACGTCGATTGGTAAGAAAACCTTTGCTCAATCAACGTACCAATACAAATGCAAAAAAGCATATTTTGAGGATGTTGACACAATAAAAAAGCAACAGAACATATCTTAGGGTATTTGAATGAAGGTTCGTTCAGCATGTCGAAAACGCCCTAGGCCAGCAAATTTATAGCCTACAATAAAGGAGGAGGAGCGCAGCAGGTACTAAATTTTAGGCTATATTTTATCCATATGTCTTCGACATAAGCATCTATTTGGATTCGATCGATGGAGCAACTTCGATACCTTCTAGGATATGATTTTTCGCTCCCGTTCGAGCAAGCGCACCAAATTTTCCGCTATACGAGTACACTCGCCTTCACTTAATATCCAAAAAATTTTCTCCTAAAAGTTGCAAAAAAAATTTCTTCGTAATATGTTGTAGCCAAAAGCTTGCTCTATACTGCACATTTACCAAGTGAGAAGCAGTTATCGTGAAGGCGTGGGACGAATTTCATCACAGCTGCCTGCATGCCACGATAGGCGGACTGCCAAGATTTCGAAGAGGTGCTCTGAAGCCAAAAGAGGCAATTTCAAAATTTGAAAGCTGCGTTGTATTTGTGAAGGTTCGATTTATGTGTGCACCAAAACTTTTTCTCCAGGTACTTTCCTTATGATATTTATTATCTGGAAAAGTACTCTCCCAGACTTTTACCCCACTCTGTGAACGGAAATCCCCAAAATCTCCAAAAGTAGCAACTAGATCGAGAAAAATACACAAAAAATTACAAAACGATCGAAGAAAAATACGAATTCATAACATGAATGCCTCTTTTATACGCCTTAAAAGAACTAGAGAACCCGTGCACACCAGTATCCCGCAGCCGTCCTTCAAAGGACTACCGAATGCTCAAAGTCCTCCTCTCAAAAAAAAATTCATACTGTACCTTATGATTCTTTTATACAAAATGTGAAATGATGACAGATTTCGAACGTTCTGATTGTCCATATCGAAAAGGTCCGAAGCTTATGTAAATTCATAGATATTTATGCTCCGAAACCAACAAATTCGGGGAAGGATATCGGAGTACATAGTTCTTTAAACTTTTCATAATGTAGTGGAGTAATATTGTATATTCATAGCCCCTTGGTGTCATATGATTGTTTGTGCGCTGTGAACAAGCCATTTGTTTGTTCATGTCTTGCTTTTGAGATTCTCGCGCTTGCGAACAACACCTTCAACACGCGTAAAACCTAGCATGTTGGCCGATTTCCGGGGCTTCGTGACCCTGCAAACACGATATCACATTTGCATTTTACCTCAGAACGAAGTCCAGTTTTACCCCGGACCGTCCGTGCCGTGCCCTGTTAACAGTCACTCGAAGGAATGATCAAAAGGCCTGTGTCACTATGTAAGTTACTAACCGCTCCAGAACGGCCAATGCGAGCCTTTGCGAAGCAGAGGTGACGGACTGGTTTCTTATGAAAATTGCAATGAACTGATTCCTATTTTTTGCTGTAAAGGACTTTTGATCCATTGCTTTTTTCCTAAAGTCACAAAGTTGTGGACTTTTACTTGTACGCTGGGACCTCCAAACCGCGCCGATTGCCGCTTTTGTAGCTAAATCGTGCCGGGTCAGATTTTATATAAGAGAATGCGTAGGGTCTTATTCGCGGATGTGATAGTTGCTTTTTTTCTGATCCCCTAGCCGCCATTTTTTCGTTCAAGGTTCTTTTTAATGCTATAGTAAACAACGCTGTTGCAGATATAGTTTATTTGATGTGGTCCTGTTTTTTCGTTATTCTACAATGCTTGTGGTCGAAATTCTGCCAAAAAAAAGTTCCCTTTTATCTCTCTTCAGCCAAGAGCTATTCGTTTGTGCCAAAGCGAGCGAAGTAATGTAAAAGAAATTACTCCTGGTAATTTCATTTTTAGGTTAATCTTTTGTGCCATTTGACGCTATCGTTAGAAAAACGAGGTTTCTTCTGCACTTATCTTCAGTTTTGAAGCTGTAGTACTGTTCAAAGGACCATACCCTGCAAAAGTATGTCTATTCAGATCCAACTTTCTGAATGTTCTCATGCTGGGTGAGCGATAGGCTTGTGAAGCAAGCTCTTTTTAATGTCTTTTCCGTTACGAAGCTCGTCTAGTATGGTAGGTAAGTGATACCGCTCATGACGATTTCTCTTGTACTTTGTGTTTGCAGCTTTCTTGTGCTGTAAGAGCGGCATCAATGTGGGACAAAATATCAATGTATCAATTTTGTTTTTGTTTTATCATGCTAAAAGAGCAACTCCTTGCGGAGCGGAGCTTTTTGATGCTTTCTGTCTTAAGGCTCGTCTATTACATAAGTTACGACCTAATTTAGGCGAAAATTGTATTGTTGGGGGTCCGCCTCGCAAGCGTTCGCGCCGTTTCGCACCTACAACGTCATATCGTGCTAAGACCCCATGTGTAGGTCTCTGCCTTCTCCTCAGTCTTTGCTTGGCAAAATGCTAGCGCCATCCTTCTATATATATAAAACCGAATGGTGTACTTGTCTGTACGTTGGTGGATAAGCATGTTGATGCTGTCTGTACGTCTTCGATGGTGTTTTTCTGGTTTGCGACAGTGTTTTCGTGTCTGTTGTTTTCCAGTAGGGAAATTTGACATGTGGGATGTCTGCTGCCCTTTGCTTCGATTCTTCATTTAGTCATCATTGCGTATTTCGACACGCTGGGATGGTCGCATGCCTTTCTCTTTGATTTTGGATTTCATTTTTGTACTTTTCGACACGTTTCTTAGGCGGTTGATAATGGTTGTCCTTCTTGATTCGTTCTTCAGTGTAGCTATTGCGACAATTAAAGGCAGTGGATCGGCAAAACTCAACAACCCACGATTTCGAAACGGTAGGTTGCTTATCGCTCAAGTATGGGAACAGTGCAATTCCGGTTGCATAACATGCCTTCTCTGCCGAGAAAATTGCTCTTAAGCTTACACGCGCAAGCCAATCTTACACGCGCCGGACGAGTTGGCAATTTCCTTCTCACCATTGGAGGCTGCCCGCCGCAATGCTTTAATCATTGGGTCCCGCAACGATTCAGCGTCGTCAGCCTTGCTCGGGTAGGGGAACGAACGCCTCAATTAGACACCGCCTCTGCGGGCTGCTGATCCTTTCGCCTTACTGTTGTGTATCGTCTTAGGACCAGTAGTCCGCGGAGGCGGCGTCTAGTTGAGGTATTCGTTCCTCTACCCGCCTTGCTCCACTCGTCCAATTTCAAAGGAAAGGGCATCGAGAAACGCTCGTTTTCGCCGTTTTCAAGCTCCCTAGATTGGATTTTTGGGATCAGCGTAATGAATAACCCCAGGTAAGCAGAAATTTGACCAGGTTAGGATTTGCCGAGCCACTGCCTTTAAAGCGCTCCGCTTTGAAGTTGGATCATGTCGGCATTACATATTCCATCATTTTTTTACGCACTGAAAAACTTGTTCTGTTCCATCTTAACTATTCTTTTTCGTAATATAGTTCTTTATAGCAAAAAAGTGTTCTGCAATCTCGCATCGCTCCTTCATTTTGGTGTATTTGTTTCTGGCCAATTGGGCACCCATGGATGGAGGAATTACAACTTGAACATGGGTTTTTCTCTTTTCGGTCGTCCTTCACGTAGTTCTCGTGCCACACTTCTTGATTTACCTTTTGAGCAGAATCATTTCGATATTGCATTTTTTATCATACTTTTTACGTTGCTGAAGAATTTGTTTTCATCTTAATTATGCTTTTTCGTATAGTTCCCTGGAAAAAATGTTCTGCAATTTTGCAAAAGTGCTTCTTTAGGTGTACTTGTTAACTAACTGGGCACACGTGAAGTATTTTGAAGAAATTACATTTTGAACATCAGTTTTGTCAATTCTCGATCATCCTCCCCCTATTTCTTCTCGTGTCCCACCTCTTGATTTCAAAATATCAGGAAATTTTGGCTGACTTGTTTTTAAGCTGTCATGCAGACATGAGACACTATTAATTTCACTTTGAGTATCTGTTTCATCTTCTTTGATCCGTCTTCCACATGTTTTCTCGTCTCGGCTCTTCAGTATTCGTCTACGGGGTTATTCCACCTGCTGATTATGAAAATGATATCTGCGTGGTGGCTTCTTTTTTGGATTACGGTAGGCATACGGTAAGAGTTGAAATCTCAAAATTCGTTAAAACTTTGCACAGGGGAATTATTCGACCTGCTGATCACGAATATCACATTTTTCTCGCTCGAAAATGTCTTTTTGTGCGGTTACGTGGGTATACGGTAAGGGAGGGGGGGGGGGGTAAAAATCTAAGTCTGGGTTTTATTTGGCCTGGAATGGTTATCTAGCACTCTGAACATGAATATTATATTGATTTTGTATGGTAGCGCCATTCGATTTACGGTGGGTGTGCGGTTGATAGGTGAAACCAAATTTGCTCAAAACGTTTAGAGGGGTTTTAAGCATGTTGATAACGGCTATCGGGCTTGCACGTTGCAACAACGCTATACTGCGGAGCTATGGTAGTTTGCAGCGTTTAAGTAAGCCTGTTTCCTGACATTCACTCTAATCAATATTCCAAAAATCCGCGAAGTGGCTTTATGTGAAATGAGCGCGATGTTCTGATCGGCACATTGGATAACATCTCTGCATGAAGTTTTAGGGAGATCGACGGTTTTGACTTTCTATTATATACTTACTGCAGTCATACAGGGAGACTTTTTATGCGGAAAAAGTGTGATATTTGTGATCAGCATGTCGAGTAACTCTCCTATGCAAAGTTTTAACGGATTGAGATTCTAACTTTAAACCATAATCCTACCGTAACCCTACAAAAGGGTTCGTGAACATATATGGCATCCGATCAGCATGTTGAGTAACCTTTTTCTACGCAAAGTTTTAGCGAAT